CCACCCAGTGAATTCACTTGACCATTCCGCCCCAATTTTGTCTCCCATAAAGCGACAACTCTGACCCCCTCGACTGTTCTAAGCACCTCCCAAACGATCACCGAGTACATCAATTTACTTCCGCTCGAATCACCAAGTTAAAATGAAGTTCGCTCTCTTCATCAGCACCTTGCTCTATACTGCCACTGTCCTAGCCGCTCCTGGAGCTGTACGCCTCTCTATACCTTCACCCTAAAGACTTCATTGACACTATCCTACCAGGTCTCCCTCAACCGCTCCTTCAAGACCATCGCAGTCCGCGACAACGATAACGTCGAGGGTACTGTGCAAGTTGCCTGTATCGAGTGTCCATGTACAGTAAGTCTCCTCGTTGTCGGCCTTTTCCTCTCTAAGGGCGGCGCATGGAGTATCATCAATATTCACTGACGGCGCCTCCAGGGCTTTACTGGCGATTGTCAATGCGTCTCGGGGGGATGCTGCTGTGATGATAACGGCCATGTCGAGGTGCCTGAGGGTGGCTGGAAGGTTTAGACAACGGCCGTGGTCAGCGCCCTCGCAATTGTTGTCCGGTCTTTGGTCTGGCTGTCATCTCTTTTCATGATGACATCAGGCAGTATTCCTTCTTGAGTATGTTGGAGGGTACTGCTGTTTGCATCACTCCATTGTTACGAGACGAGTGGACAACGAAGTTTGAAAACATCTTCTTGATTGAGTCTCAGGCATTGTCACTGCCTAGTCATATAGTTTGAGACATATATCCATGATCCTTAAATCCTGTCGTTTGCCGTGAAGTCGTGCATCCATCCCTTATATATCCACATACTTGCACCCCAGAAGACTTCACTCAGGGTGCGTCCATTCCGGTCTTGTAGTAACAAAGTAGCCCTCAAGAACGAGGCCAAGTGCAGTTCTTCTGGAGACAGCAGCCGTTGACGACACATGTGCAGCCACCGTAGAAACCCTAGACGCATATTTATCAGCCAGGTACAGTATTGTTCGTTCTGCGATAGATAGCAGAGGAGATAACTTACGTTGCATGGACACTCGACACATGCCGTGAGAGTATCGGCGACTGTGGCACCGCCGCCATCAACGCCAGTGTCGGCCTCGATGAAGGAGCGCTTGAGGGAGATCTTTGGGAAGTGACTGTCAGTAATAGTCTCAAGCAGAATGATGGTACATGGGGAGTAGAACTCACAGCTCCAGGGGCGGCCATGGTGGTTCCGAAGAGGAGAGTGGCGATGATGGTAGTAGCCTTCATGTTTGCGACTTGGTGCTTGGTTGCTGGATGTAATGGAGATTGCCGTACTGAATGTGATGGAAAGGTTGAAGCAGTTGATAACTGCGAGCGAAAGCAAGGTGAGGATCTTCAGTAAGGAGAAGAACGGGGGATTATATGCTGTCTGCGACTGCTTCCCCAGAATGCGGGTAGCTAGCGTAGAAACTTCATACAGCAAGCACGCCCGCGTTGAGCCTGTTGAGCCTGTTGAGCTTGGACTTTTCAGTTCTCTAGACCGCTAATGGCTGTTATCCTCACCCGGTAGGAGGTTAATGTGCTCACGGCAGGAGGCGACTGCGCGATTGCGCCTTCCAGACTGCGTCCGCCTGCCACGCATCCCGAGGTCGCTCTTGAAAAGGCCGGCCTGGAGCTGGAGCTTTAGCCTCCATCGTGACGGGTCTATACATCCCCACTGGAGGAGCCACTTCAAGGATGCTCTAAGAGTTCCTGTAATTTCCAAGCTCTTACTGAGTCCTTCCGATCGTGCCTGCTCTGGCAATGTGAAGTAGTTCAAAATGTGTCTTGAGCTGATCCTAAAGTCATTCTCCTTAACTTCGGCTAAGAAGATTACGAGACTGATTCAGCAACGAAGTAGGTAATGTACCCAGGTAGTCGACCAGCGCGACTTTGCGTAGATACCATTCGCGAGACGAACTCGACGTAATTCAAGAAAAACGAAATGACTTCTATAAATGGAGAGCGGTGTTACTCTACGAAAGGCCGATTTTTTACAGCATGTTCAAGAAGGCAAACAGATAAAGGAGGTGCTGGAGCAAGTAAGTCGGATTGGGTGGCTTGTCAGCTTTGGATAGGGATTGGTATGGAGATGAAGATAGTGTCAGTCGATTGAATCTTCGAGGGACGAAGGATAACGCCGTTGTGTTTTTTGTTCGCTGCGGGGTCAAGTCGAATAGAGAGTAAAAGGAGTGGAGTGGTGGTTGCGACTGACTGCCCCGGTGCCAACACGTGCCGCGTGCGCCAAGACAGCCGTCCGGGGTCATTTCATCACCAAACCTCGCTCTTCCATGCCTACCCCAAGGAGCCTCTGCATGCCCATGTCCAATGGACTCGTTAAGCGGCGTGTCTTCTTCATGCAGCAAAAACGTCTGAACGGTCTAGCCTCTGCGCTGCAGGGTCCCACACCTGATAGCTTCACGTCGACGTCATCATGCCGAAACCGCGACGCGCAACACCCTTCTCAACAGGCTGTCGCGGCCAGCGAGGACGATACACCACCTCCAATATGAGGCTGTGATCTCTACGACACTAACTTGTAGCCTCTGCTAATATTATATGCCTCTCTGGACCAAGTCGTCGACCTCCGCGCTGCCCGCATTCAAGCCATCACCCTGTCACCTCTCGAGAGTTGCGCGCATCGCTTGTGGCAGACACATCGCAAACATGTCGACTGATACAAAGCAGCAAAAGAGCGCCAAGTTTGGCCATCTGCCTCTATCCACATCTGGGCCACAGGAAACCAGCCTGACTGTACGGCATGCACACACTCGAGTAGCGCTGGGGCTAACACACTACGTAGGGCAATGCACTTCTACGAACACCCTACTTCAACAAGGGCTCGGCCTTCATCAAAGAAGAGCGCGATGTCTTCAAGCTTCATGGGCTCCTTCCCACCAACGTCCAGACCCTCAACGAGCAGGTCAAGCGCGCATACGCCCAGTACTGCTCCCGACCGAGCGACCTCGCCAAGAACACCTTCATGACGAGTCTGAAGGAGCAGAACGAAGTGTTATACTACAGGGTATGCGATGGTTGATGGTGTCGGTCATGGCATGGCATGGCTGACGACTGCAGCTCATCCTCGCACACCTCAAGGAGATGTTTTCGGTCATCTATACCCCCACTGAGGGCGAGGCGATTGCCGACTATTCCAAGATCTTCCGGCGACCTGAAGGTTGCTTCCTCAACATCGACGATGCAGACCGCGTCGAGGACGATATCAAGCAATGGGGAAATCCCGACGATATCGATGTGATAGTCGTGAGCGACGGGCAACAGATACTCGGCATTGGCGATCAGGGTGTAGGAGCCATCCTCATCAGCATAGCGAAGCTCGTCATCTACACTCTGTGCGCAGGTATACATCCTTCGCGAACACTCCCTGTGGTCCTTGACTGCGGCACCGATGTCAGTAGAGAGACCCGAATCAGATGCGCATTGCTAACGAGAGCAGAACAAAGACCTTCTCAACGACGAGCTTTATCTTGGCATGCGAAAAGAGCGAGTATACGGCGAGCGATACGATGACTTCGTCGACAAGTTCGTAAAGGCTGCGAGAAAACACTACCCCAAAGCCTACATCCACTTCGAGGATTTCGGATTGAACAACGCGCGAAGGATTCTGGACAAATACACACCTGAGATCGCATGTTTCAATGACGACGTACAAGGCACCGGCTGCGTAACGCTTGCAGCTATCATGGCAGCTTTCAAAGTAAGCGGAACCAAATGGGAAGAAGCTCGCTTCGTCATGTTTGGCTCGGGGTCGGCAGGCACGGGAATTGCGGACCAGATCCAAGATGCCATCGTCCAGAACACCGGGAAGTCGAAGGAAGAAGCCGGGCGACAAATTTGGTATGCTTCTTTACACACTCAGTCCAGGAGCCCACGCTGACCCCAGTATAGGTGCGTCGACAAGCCTGGTCTGCTTTTACAAGGCAAGAAGGATCAGCTCACTCCGGCCCAACTTCCGTTTGCGCGAGAGGACAAGGAGTGGGAGGGCAAAGAACATGGCGATCTTCTGTCCGTCATCAAGGAGGTGAAGCCACACGTTCTCATCGGTACCTCGACCAAGCCAGGGTCGTTCTCAGAAGACGTCGTTCGAGAGATGGCGAAGCACGTCGAGCGCCCTGTCATATTCCCACTATCGAACCCAACCAAACTCCATGAGGCCAAGCCGCAGGATCTATTCGACTGGACCGATGGCAAAGCGCTGGTGGCAACCGGTTCGCCATTTCCACCGGTCAAACACAATGGCAAGGAATACGATATCTGTGAGTCTACAATTTTCGTTCCGTAATGATGTTGCTGACCGCTCCAAGCTGAATGTAACAACTCGGTAACGTTCCCTGGCATCGGCCTCGGCGCTGTCCTCTCCCGAACCCGCCTTATGACTCCCGCTCTCCTCGTCGCAGCTGTACAAGCCCTTGCCTCGGAGGCTCCTGTTCTGAACAACCGCGGAGCCGGTCTCTTACCAGACGTCGAAGACGTGCGCGAAATTAGCGTCCAGATCGCGAAGAGTGTGATCAAGAAGGCTGTGGAGGATGATCTGGCCCAAGAGAAGGATATACCAAGTGGCGATGCAGATCTAGAGGAGTGGATCAGAGAGCAGATGTGGGATGCCAAATACCGTCCGTTGAAGTTGGTCGAACACAGCAATGCGACTGCACATGCGAGAGGAGAAGCAGGCACAGCGAGTGGGCAAAGAGAAGCAAAGCACTAATGGTAGAGGGACATACATTACCTAACTCTGCGTCACCAATCTGATGTATCTTCTCGCCCAGCGGTCCTCTCTTTCTCATTCAATCATGACATCGAAGCAAGTACTGTACTTGTTCGCACCGTCAAAATTCCACACCCATACCATCATATGCCGACCCTTCTCCATACACTCAGGCCTATACCGCAACGTTAGCAGGGGAACTCCTCCGACCACATCTGCCCCCACTCCTAATAACACAGCATCAACGAAAAGAAGATGGACTTACAAATGCACCGTCTGCCAATTTCCCTTATCCTGCAGCGCCGGCGGCGCCGTAACCTTCAAATCCGCCGGATACGCAAAGCTCTCTTCACTAAACCCATTATCCTGCACAAGATTCTCCTTCGTCAATTCCTTCACATCCACGATCTCCTTTTCCTTACTACCAGCCCAGTACACAGAAACTCTTCCTGGGTCGCCCTTCTCCACGCCACCGAAATTACCCCGGCTGTGCCCGTTGCCGCCGAACATGAGTGTTATGGACGACCCGGCTGTAGCTGTTGCCATCGGGGCCGGCGCCGTATGGTAGGGTGGTTTGCTATCAGGCTCTTGCGTGATTGTGGGAGTAAGGTATTGGGCTGGCGCGCGTTGCCTGGGGTGGCAGGCGTGCGTGTCGCCCTTTGAGGCTTGGGCGGGAAGATCCCAGAGATCTGTAGGCTTTTAGTAAGGGACATGGTGTGGATAAGGCAGAAAGATATACGTACATTCTATGCCTTCATCCATCCAATTGCCTGGGTTCTGCTTTGCGCGCGGCCAGCCGTGGCACAGATATGCGTTATAAGGCATGCTATGGGAAGTTCAGCTTTCCTGCAGTCTTCATTCGTATGTGTGATTGAGTGATGAGTACTTACAGTGGATCAACAGGTCTGTCTGGTGTTTTGAGTGCAGCGGCTGCCATGTCGACTTTTATACCGGTGTTGTTGTGGTTGGTGCAGTGCAGCCATGAGTGCCCTGAGGCTGTGGTGGACAGCGTTATTGCTGTTGCTAGAATGATCAGCTTCATGCTTCTTGTGGGTGTAGAGTATTTGGCGGATTTCGTGTTACGCAAAGAAGGGAGACACTGGGGATACGTAGATATGTTACTCGAGGTTTCGAACGTGTAGCACCGAAGTTCCGCTATATAATGAAGACTTGTCAAATCCTGATATTATGTACACAAGCACGGCATTGATGGGGACCTAGGTGACTGTATAGATCATGACAGTGGTATTGATAATGTACGTGTTGCTGTTTGTTAATCATTAAACCGGTCAAAGGAAATACATCACAATAGCATTGTGCGTGGAGTTGCATGGGTAGGATCAACATTGAAGGAAATGGCATTGAGAAAGGACATGTCTACGACATACTAGTCGAACACTCAACGTTCGCTGGCAGCACATTGAAGCGCCAAAATTGAGTAATCCAAACGACTATCATTGATCACATGATCCGCCAGTTGACGCCAAACTCTGAACAACAGAACCCTCTATCTCAAGCTCCATAACATAATACTCCTGCTCTTACAATTATCTCATTCTGCTTCAGGTCTCGATTTCTTTCAGAACTGCACTGTGTTCGCATCTTCGTACTCCAACGTTATGTCCTTCACGCCGCCAGCAGCCATCACAGTCTGTTTCCCCAACGACAGCACTGTCTTCCCAACAATCCTCTTGATAACGAACCAAGTAATAGAGCTCAGACCCACAGTCCAGTCTTTATAGAAGCGCAGAACGTACATAACGTACATGTGCACGAAGTTGTCATTGACCTCTTCGCCAGACATGGCTTCGTATGCAGCCTGCGCGATACGCATCATGACACGAGAAGTAATCTGAAAGCACAAAGTCTCGAGTGCGAACGCACCCCACCTCTTTAATAGTCTGGGTCCAGTGTCTCCCAACGCCTCGCGGAAAGTGCGTCGGGGTTGGTATGCAGACTCGCGGTACGTGGTATGTAAGCGTACTCTTCTGGATCGAGAGGGGTCTGTCGCGCTTGGAAACCATGTTGATGGCAAGAAGAGGTTTAATCCGGGGAAGGTGATGCTGATTGGGCCTATCGTTGCTGGAGCTTTGGGCTGGGCAGCAGGTTGGCTGGGGACAATGGAGAAGGTGGATGAGCGACGGTAGAGACCTTCCTCTGCATCACTCTCGTAAGCAGTAGAGCAGAGTGTGGATTTCTCTGGTGTGAGCATCATGTGGACGTAGGGAATCGCAAATGTGAGTGCGAGAAGGAAGGGTAGGCGAACGGTGATTTCGAAGAGAAAAAGGGCAACGATCGTGGCTACTAGGATGTGGAGCTGATGATGGTTAGCAAAGTGACCTCAGACGTTCTGATTGCGTGAATACCTCTTACCGAATACGATTTGATGGATTGAAGCAGATGTTGTTGTCTGTCTCCGAACGTGCTCTCCAATTGCGACATTGAGTTTGCAGATCCGCTCTCATGTTTCCAAGCGTATGTTGTACTCGCAGTACTCTGACTCGATGCGTCGTCGTTCTCGTAGTAACACGATTGATCCAAGAACGGAAGGTTCTGAGAATGGCCGATGCTTCCTAGTCTTTGCGGGCTTGAGTGCGCTTGGCTGGGTGTGTAATCATACGATTGTAACGGCATGATTCTAGATTCGTCGCAGACGTCGTGCTATACTTCGGCAGATTAGAGAAGTTGTTTTAGCTGTGTGTAGCCTGGAGTGGGTGTGCTTGTGATGTTTGTAGTGGAGCAGAAAGCGGACAAAGAATTGCACTCAACGTCCCGACATGAAAGACCGCATACGACAATGCAGACTTACGACAATGGCTGAAAGAAGTACTCCTCATGATCTAGAAAGATGCATGCATGGATGGGTTGTTCAATGGTGAGTTTGTTGAATGTGTGCACATGGGATGACAATCGGAGAGCAGTTACGACTGCGAAAATCGGACCTGGGGTTGCAAGAATTAACGACAATGACCAGTTTGGGTATATAAGAGGATGTACAAAAGTGGTCGAGAAAACGCTATCATCGCGGTCGCTCGTAAAGTCCGTCGCCGTTCGCCATCACCGTGCTACCGTACACAATCCCGTCGTTACACGCTTTCCCGCGCCTCGGTCTCCCATATCAGAAACTTTACATTATGCTCATAATCCTCATTGTTGTAGTAGTGACCACCGATAGCGTGATCTAACAACTCCCTCGCGAAGTAGTCGTCTTGTCGTCTTATGAATTTGCAGAACTCCGCGTACTCCCTCCCCAGTACGAATTGAACAAAGCATTCATTCATGACGAATTTGGTGGCATGCGCAATGTCTTCGATGTCTCTCATAGATGGGCTGACGACTTGAGATAAGAAGGACGAGATCGCTGCAGTCGTTGCGGAGCCGCTCAGGGATGCAAGATAGGCGAAGACAGTCGTTATGCCACGCTCTCCGAACGACGATCGTATCCGGTCTTCGCGGTCTTGGCTCGTTCGGATCTCAGCCAGTACTATCAGAGTCCTGCTCCCCAGGCGTTCCACATCGATGTGATATGAGCCCTTTTTCTTGCAATCCGGACCGTTCCGCGCATGTGCGTTCACCCCCGCATCGTGAAAGTCGATTTTGAGGGCCGGGGTTGCGTTATTCGCTATCAGGTGCCGGTTGAGGTAAGCCACAAAGTGGTTGCGCAGCCTGTGCGTGGCCGTGGGGACTTTTTCGGATAGCACGGCAACTGCGAAGTCGTCTGTAGGGTTCGAGATGGTGGGAATGAAGGCTCGAGCTAGGTCCGTGCCCAAGCGATGCGCTAGTCGGTCGTCGCCAAATACATATTTCTGGTAGTCCTTGATGGAAAACGGAAATGCTGTCTCGTCGCGGCCGACGATGTTGTGCAGCGAGAAGACATCCTGAACCATTGAGACTCGAGGGATGCGAGACCCTAAAAGATGAAATTTCGTGGGTCAAAGAGAGTGCGCGAGCATTTTGAGGTCCGCTGGCCGTGTAGTTAGCGGCGACCACCGTCTGGATTTCGACCTGCCAAGAATGGGGCTGTGTAAATGTCACTCTTCTCGAAACCGCCCGTCTTTGACTAAAATGCCGCACAACACGTCATATGCTAGCCTCTCCGATGGACTTGGATTTATGGTAGGTTGAAGCTCCATGGTGATATCCGGATCATTGCAGATCAATGCTGCCGACTGTGCGACGAGGGGCGAGTGCCGCGTGTCGCTCTTGCCCTTTCACATGTCACCCACTGAAAACTGTCTACAAGGCTGAAAGTGCAGTGTGCGCGGTGGGAGCGAAGGCGACTGCCATCAAAAAGCGGTGTCTCCGAGCGCTAGATGACAGTGAGAAGTTTGGAAGCGCCGTCGGAATAGGAACCGCCAGACAGAATAGGTTAACAGGTGCGGAATGATTGTTGCGAAGAAGACGACAGAAGATGGCGGATAGAACGTCCCGTATAGTAGAGCATGTGCCATGTTGTACATATGCTACGGCAAGCTACAACCCAACAAGCAAGTGCGTGAAAGCTTATTCAAAAAGCACGATGCTTGGCAAATGCTTCACATGTGTCCGCTCCACCCGTGGAACTCGAGGGCGTTGTCAATGTCAGTTGCCGATTACCCAATGGCACTACTAGGATTGCTGAACGGAGCAACGCGCACCGAAATCCGCTAGTGGGGTGCTTTCGTCTTCCCAAGGCATGTCTGCGAGCTCCTCGGGACTAATGTCCAAGGAAACCATCGCCAACCACTTCACGCAGTTCCACGTAACGCAATGGAAGATTCAGCATGGTTAAATTCCAGGCATCCCCTGAAACTCGGCCGTGATTGGTCTTAGGGTCTATGGGGTCAGACTTGTCGAGAGATATAGCGTTGCCGGAGTTGGGGTAGTCCGTGCGAAAATGGCTCATCGACTGTGCAGCAAAGTCACGCTCACCGTTGAGAATTTTTGAACGGAAGCACGATGGATGATGCCACGAACATGTTCAATCCGTACTCTCAAGAGGTGGTAATGCCGAACGAAGGGCGCTTCGTGCTGGTGACACGTAGGTAAGGTAAAGCAGTATGCTACGCTTCTCCCCACGTGTGGGGCTCGTGGGATGCGAGTATACCTCGGTATAGGCGAGGCGTGTACCACATCTGCGAATTTAGGATCATGTAGACGGAACCCAACCTTGGGAACTTGGACCGATCATGTGCGCTCCTCACCGTTCAGATACACACTGAACGCCTAGGCATCTAGACCGCCCCTTACCTATGCTGCGAACTACCAGCTTATTGTCCATGGAGCGACATACAGGCAGGGGCGCTCGCTTGCACTGTGGGTGATGGTTGTCGCTTGTCGAGAGACAACGATCGCACTCGGCTATACGGCAGCTGGCAGCATACAGGCTGCTGCTGCATTGGTTAGGCAGCTACTGCGCAAGGGTACTGGGTAGTTGAAGAAGTCTTATCGTGACCGCAATCACTGAGAGTGTCAGCAACACGCGAGTGGTGTGACTTTCATCCCAAACGCCCGATGTCGGCAGCGATATCGAATATCAGTGGCACCACCAGCTTCACGACTTTGAAAGGCGCAATCGTACTCGGAGACATGTATCACATGAAGGCTGCAGATACAGACTACAGAGGCAACTGGCGCGTGGACGGCGCACTCGACATGAGACCGTGTCGAGCTACTGAATCAGCCTGTTGATGACGGAGCGGAATCACGAATCGCTTTTTGCCAAGCTTCGGAAGTGGCCTTCCAAGGTTCGGAGCTTCCGACACGCGTCAGCTTGTGCTACCAACACTAACGCGCGCGGCGCGGACACATCACGCGTCAGCTCGGCTCGGCCCATCGCATGTAGTGACGATTGAACGGGTATTACTTCTAGTCTCCTATCTACTTCCAACATCCTCATCTTCGCAGTGGCCGACCTACTCGATCGCGATCTTCACCGAGATGGAACCCTTGGTCGTTTGCGCAACAATCAAGTCGTGGTCGTACGAAATGTCCTCCTTCACGGTGTCCACAAGCTTCGCCCTTGGAAGAACATTGAGGCACATGTACGCGCCCATAATGTACAGCTCACAGTACGCCAGTTGCTCACCAATACAGCTGCGGCTTCCCTTTCCGAACGCAATGAGCTTCTTCTGGAGCGCATAGTTTTGCGATCCATCTTCCAACAGCCAACGCTCGGGAAGGAACTCGTCAGGGTCGGGGAAAAGCTCCCTGTTCCAGTGGTTGATCATGGATGTCATACCAATAGGTGTACCCCTTGGAATCACCCAGTCAGACTTGCCATCAGCGGATACATAGTGCAGGTCCTCCTGGCGCGCGATTCTGGCAGATCGATGAGACACGCCGGGCATCATACGCAAACACTCTTGCAGAACAGCCCAGAAGTAAGGCACCTTCTCCAGCTCAACCCACTTCACAGTCTGTGTGTTGATACCAGCGGTAGCGAGATCAGCCATCAGTCTCTGGTAAATCTCCGGCTTTGCGAGATTCCAGTACGTGAAAACAGTGAGAATAGCCTGCGGTTGCTGTTAGCTCTGGCTCTTTGACAATGGCATTTATCGGGTACTTACAGCAGTAGTTTCGGTGCCCGCAAGCAGGAAGTTGAAGCCTTCACCGTTGTAGCGGAACTTCTCCTCCTCTGACATGGTCTTGTTCTTGCCCATGACCTCAGCGAAGACACGTCCATTCTCGGGGTTCTTCAAAGCCTGGCCAATGTACTGAGGAATGGTCACGTTCATGACACGCATGACAGCCTTGATATCTTCACCGAGGTAATCGGCCATGAATGGCAGGACCTGAGCCATCTTTCGGCCCAACGCGTTGTGACGCATCATATACGCACTCTTGAAAAACGACTTGACCCAGGTTGCGAAGTTCGGCTCCCAACCTTCCTGTGCAACAAAGCCCATGGGCTCACCGAATGCGTACTGAGAGATGACATCGGCAGTATAGCAGTTGAACGCTTCCTTGACATCGAAAGCGGTCTTGCCGGCATAAGTGAGCATCTTGTCTGCCGTCATTACAGCAAATTCATGCACTTCGCCTTCGAGCTTCAACATCTGTTGGCGCGAAAAGAACTTGCTCAATGGAGCCTTGCGGGCACGGTGGAGGTCATGGTCGACAGTCGAAAATCCAGTTACCGAAACAGGTCCGGCTCCTCCAGTGTTCAATTGATGCTGCCACTTGTCGCGTGGACGTCCAGGACCGGCATATATCTCATCCGTGAAGGCAGGGTCGGAGCAGTGTAGTTCGTCTGGGTTTATGCGTACGATGGGTCCATATTGCTCATGCATGCGGGCGATGACTTTTCCATAGCGTCCTCCGAGCCACCAGTCGTGGTACGCTTCGTACAGGTAGGTGGCAGCTGCGATCTTCGGGCCAGGAAACTTGGCGAGTGGATGGAAGGGCGAAATGTTGTATAATGCAATGGCAATTCTATAGCCGACCCAGAGTAGGACGAGCCAAGCCACCATCGCGAGTGAGAAAACTGACTTGGAGCCCTGGGAAAGGCCCGAATGGTCGTCCATGTTGGGGAGGTTTGGCAGTTTGGCGAGGCACAACTGCACAAAGGGGAGAACGTGATTGCATGGCGATGTTTCAGCGAGGGCAATGGTATATACCGGTGTGGTGTCTCTAGGCGACTGATAGCTCAACAGGGTCGATCCTTTCTCCTTCCAATCGCTGGCTTTTGCAGTGCATCCGCACCTGGCGATAAAACGAGCATCGCATGTGCAGCGCCGAAGATGCCCCGTATCGACTCCACTAGGTTTTCATTCAGCGATCGACCATTGGTGCCCCAAGACCCTGGAGGACCATAGCGCCACGTGGAAAGGAAGTTAACACGCCCAAGTGGAGATGCGCGCTGTCCACAGCGGGAATACTGTCTCTTTTAGTTAAGCTGGTTTGGGACTCAAAATTCTTCACTATCAGACCCATGAGGATAAGAAAGGGACAACTTCGCCGATGTATGCGCACAGATGGCGCATTGAGCTCTAGGTACCCGAGGATCTGGGATAGGGCTGTAGAAAAGATCGGGGAACCTGCATTCTTCTATTTGTTTTCGAGAATTTGGTCGCCAGGCCTCCTGCCTCAGGCAGAATACGACTCAGGCCAGTCATGAACCCTGACAACACGTGTGGAGCCGAACATGAGGTCTCCTGCTTATCCCCTGCTTATTCATGCAGCCAATGACCCTCGAGTCGGAAAGTTGCGGCGTGCCGCCTGTCATAACGGCAAGCGGATGAGGCGCCCGGCAGTGGCCCTTGGCGCTGTGGGTCAATACCTGGCCTAGACTGTTTCACCGTCGGCGACTCTCCGCCGGCACGTTACCAATTCTTTTCAAGCCTCAAGTCAGTCTCTTCGTTACGACTCGCGCTGCATGATTGCTCGAGATTGATGGCGCTTCATTACGATCGTCATCTCGCGTAGGTCAACATTGCTGCATGCGTATCCGGGGAACGCGAACGCACATCCGGAGGGAATAGTTCAGGTGTTCGGCCAACGTTTGTGGCAATGATCCTTACGATCTCCACTGTTGAACGTTGACAGGCAAGGAACTCTTTTCGGTCCGCCGGGCTAGGCCCGCTAACCCAACGGGTATGCCATCATTACGAAAGCCAAAACAGTTTTGACGAAGACAGGAGACGGGAGACATGGATCAGGTTTTAACAATACACTGTTGCCCCGACTCAACGCCCCGACTTCATCTCTTCGTTCTTCCCTTTTCTCCAGTTCTCACGACAGGACCCACTCTTTTAGTACTCCGTTCATTACTTTGCATCTCTCCGGACTTCGAGTGATAGCTTTGGATCGGGGTCTTGCCTCCGCAGGTCAGGATGGTGGAAACAATCGATATAGCGATGGCCCGGAGCGGTCGCGACTCCATGATAGCAATGTCATGTCTGTGGCT